GAGAAAGAGGGGAGTGAAAGCCAAGCAGGACCAGGGTCAGGGTGGAGGATGGCACAGGCATGGGGAAGAGAGAGAGACACCGACACAGAGAAAGAGAGAGAACAGAAGACAATGTGAGCATGGGACCCGGCCCTCCCTACCGCCTCCCAGGTGCTGCCAGCATCCCCCAGGCTCAGGGAGGGGGGGGGTGCTTCTGAAGGACCAACCCCCCTGCTCCGTACAAGGCCCTTGGGTCCCTCGCTCCTCAGCTGCCCTGAGCCTGCCCCCTCTCTCTTTTCAATGCCGTCTTGGTCACAGCCTAGGGTCCTCCTAAGTGGCTGACCAAGGCGAGAACACCGCCCACCCATTCTGTTCAATTCCAGGTTTCCCAGCACCTCCTGCATTCATTCCACCTTGACTCCAGAGCCCAGCACGACCCCCTACTTCCACCAGGGGGGCTGCCCAGGCTGTGCCCTGCACAACTCCAGGGGGCTCCACGTGCATGGCCACGGCCAAGGTGCAGACGGTGCCCCCTGGAGTTGCAGTGTAGCTGCCTGACCTCCACGTTCAGCTCCCTGCTCTGCTCCGGCCCTCCCCTTTCTCCTCTAGGGGCACCCTTTGCCTTTCCTCCAAAGGGCCCTGGGGGCACTCAGCTCGGAAAAACAGAGAGAGAAGAGGAAAGACAGAAAGAGGGGAGGTGGTGATAGAGAGAGGCCAGGGCGGCAGTCGGGGGAGGAAGGGAAGGGAGGCTGGGGGGTGGAATCGAATGAGCACTGGACTTGGAGTCCAAAGCCCTGGCTTACAGTAATAGCTCTGCCACCTCCTAGCTAACATGGCCTGGGTCTCCTGAGCCTTGGTTTTCCTGTTGTGAAATGGGTGCTGTCCTCCCTGCCCTGCCCTCCTTGGGTGGTTCTTCGAGGCTCAGATGGCATAGCAGATGGAAGGGGGTGCTGTCTCTGGAAGGAGATGTGATGGAGGGGAAGGCGAAGGTCCTGAGTGGGGTCCTGCGTGAGGGCGGGGGGGGATGGGAAGGCTGAAGGACAGTGGGAGTCGGGGTACCGGCTAGACCCGGGTCCTCCGCACCTCTCTGGCTGACCAGGCCCCTAGAGCAGCATCCAAGAAGGTCCTGTCGCTCAACTGTCTCCAGGACCCAGGCTTCCCCAAGACCCCTCCCTGGAGCCCCCAAAGATGGCCCACCTCTGAGGGCAGAGAGGGGGCTCAGGGACCCCTCAAGCCCTATTCTCCTGAGCTGGGAGCTCTTGGTGGCTCTCAGGGTCAATAGCCACGATCATTGTCATCTCACAGCGTCTAATCCCTTGGTGTCCTGGGCCCGGGGGCCAGGAGGGTGGGTGAGGCCCCCTCAGAAAGCCCCCCCTGCCCCCCCCATCCTGGTCTGTGGCGGCCTGCCTTTCTCACCCCGCCGAGGTCTGGACATGCTACCAAGGAGGCGGTGGGGCGTGGGGAGGGGCGCCGGTCAGCAGTGCGGGACGGGCAGAGGCGGGGCTGGCCGGGCCGCTGGTTACCTTCTTGGTGCACTGTCTAACGGTGTTGATTAGCTCCGAGATAACCATGTCCACACACTTGAGACACGGTTCTCGGATCTTCTTCACCTGCTTTTTCACAATGGTCTCAAAGGCCATGTCTGGGGTAAAGAGCCCCGTTCTGAACGCCCGGAGCGGGAGAAGGGCAGTGTCACAGGCCAGCTCCTGCCAGGAGCGCCCCACACCCCTGAGCTCTGCCCTCGGGCCCCCCTACCCCTCTCTGGGCCTCAGTGTCCCCATCTGCAAAATGGGCAGGAGGGATTCTAAGGAGGGACTTTCAACCGATGCTCTTTGGGACAAGACAAGGTCTGCTGTATCTGCCTCCGTGCCTTGCTTCCTCTTAAGATTCTGTTCATACACCGGTTCTGTGGCCGGGAGCCGTTTGAAAACTGCTGAACTGAGTTCTCTTTAAGAGCCTTTCCAGGAATAGGGAGTTTTATTTTAGGACTAGGAGAGATTTCTTTTTTCTGTGCCCTGGCCAGTGCAGTTCCTAGTGTCAGTCTATGAATTCCCTGCCAAACCTGGAATTGAACCTGCTTGGCCTCTCACTGCCTGGCATATAGCAGGTGCTTCCAATGACCTTGTTGTGTAGATCTGGGTCCCCGAAGGGGGTCTAAGCCTTTAAGGAAGTCTATTTCCCAGGCCCCCTTCCGGCTCCACAGGCCTTGGGGTTCTCGAGAAGGTGAGAAGTGGGGTAGAATGGGACCCTCGTGGGGATCCGGGGACTATGGAGGATCTGGAGGGGTGAGAGGCCCCCTTCCATCCTAAAAGGACACAGGCCAGTACCGGGATGCTCCGCCTCAGGGCCTACCCATTGCTGGGCAGCTTTGTGCAGCCGCCTGGAGAGAACTGGGGTGCTGCCTCACCCTAGCGATGGGCAGGGAGCCCAGGCCCAGAGGGGGCTCTGCCCAGCTCGTCTAGCCTCCAGGCTCTGCTCCCAGGGACAGCAAAGGAGGGCAGCAGGCTGCAGGGAGCAGGTGGCCCAGGCCTCCCATCCACATCCTCCGCCCAGAGCCTGTCAGAACTGGGAGCCAGAAAGTCGAGGTTGAGGGGAAAGGGGACCCGGGCTCTTGGTCTTTCCTGAGGGAGGCTCATTCATCACTCCCTGTGCCTCTGCACTAGACCCCCTGCCTTCTGGGGTTCGGCCCCCCTCCCTGGTCCCAGTACGTGCCTAATGCCATGGATATTCTTGATGGCGTAGCTGATCTCCCTTCGGAGTTCCTTCTCGTCAAACTCCATCTGTGTAGGAGATTGAGAGATGGCCCGTCAGGGCCTGTCCCAACACCTGGGAGGTCAAGATGGGGCCCGTCCCACTCCCAGGGCTGGACACCAGGACCCAGGTATCCATGGGAGAGGCCTGAGCCCCCCACCCTTCCCCCGGGGAGCCCGTCCTACCTTGACCAGCTCAAAGGGGAAGCGCTCGTGGAAGATGCGGTTGATGCGGGCTCCCCCCGACAGCTCATAGGTGTCGATCTGGTCCCCTGAGCCCTCAATGCGCTTCTCAAAGTCCACGGCGAACTGCTGGACCATCCTGGGGGAGAGTGGCGTGGCCTGAGGGGGTGCAGTGGAGCGGGCCCCGGGAGAGGAGAGGCTGGGGGGAGGCGCACTCAGGGATGGGGAGTCGAGAGCTGGGGAGACCCTCACTGCAGTAGGGCCTTGGTCTTGCGCGCTGGGTCGTCAGGACGGAAGTTCTTGTACTCGTCCACCTCCTTCTCGATGGACAGCAGCTGGCTCTGCAGCTTGTTGCGCAGCCCGGGCAGCGTGTCTCGGATGTGGTTCGTCAGTTGCTGGGGGAGGGGGTGAGACAAGGGTTAAGGTCAAGGTCACAAGTCACAAACCTCAAATGCCCACAGGGCCAGGCAGGCACCAGGATGCCAGGGGGGCCGTGGATGTGGTGAGGTGGAGGGCTCAAGAGGGGCCATGTCCTGCCCAGCAGAACAAAGGCTGTCCGAGGGCAGGGCCTGGCCCACAGCAGTCCTCACAGAGGTGTGTTCATTGAATTAATGAGTGACTCAATTTTCAAAGAAGCAGAAATCTAGATTTTTATTTGAGATTATCTGCTTTTTCACTAATTTAATATTTTTAGATACCACAAGGGCCACATAAAATGTATTAGGGGCGCCCTGGCTGGGTGGCTCCGTTGACTGGAGCATTGTCTCATATACAGAAGTGTGGAGAGCGGCTACGGCGTTTGGACAGGTTCAAGCCTGGGACTAATGAGAGGGCACAATCCTCCCGTGGCAAAGCCACGTGCAAGTCCCAGCACAATTACAGGCAGAGGCTACAGTTGTGAGCTTGACCTTATGGTCCGAACCTGTGGGCCCACGTGGCTGAGTGATACGGGCGCGGGGAGGGGCAGCAAGTAAACAAAGCTTGATCAGGTGCATGTAATTGAGTAGATTTGAAACCCACAAGAACGTTGTAAACATCTTGACCACGCCCTTACTTTGCCTCGTGGAATCTGGCTGTAAAATAAAGACTAGGCTTGCAGGCCGTGGCGCTTCCTCTCCATCAGAGGGCAACATCCCACCCAGCCCCAGCTTTATCCTCCTGTCTGTCATCTCCATCCATCACCGCCCCTTCTCAGGTTCACCCCTGGCCATACTGGCTCGGCACACAGAAGGGTCTCGGGTTCGATCCCTAGTCGGGGTGGCCAGTGCCACCCTCCACACAAGATCTTGGTCTTCTCTCCATCCTGGGGGTTCCGGGGCTTCCCTCCAGGCCCCAGGCAGGGAAAGGTCAGTAAAGCTCTGTTGCCACCTCACTGTGGGACTGTGGGCAAGCTCCTTTGCTTTCTGGGACTCAGTGTGTTTCTCTGCATAATGGGGATGCTAGCCTCTGCTGTCATCCTCGCCAAGCACACTTAAATGACTGTTCTCAGGCTGCTTTCCTGATCTCATTCTGGCCTGGGCCCCTACCTGGTTGAGGACCTTCTGCAGGTAGGGCGTGCCCATGCGGTCAGCCAAGTGGCGGTAGGATGGGTGCGAGAGGAAGAACTTGCGTTCGGCGGCCAAGGCAGCCGTGATGTCCTTCTTGCCATCAATGTCCTTCTGGCTCCGGTTCACCACCCCAATGTAGCCTGTGGGTGGGGCCAAGGTCAGGGCCAACCAGCCTTGTAGGGGGGGGGGCGACGGGGGAGGGCGGTGAGATGAGCAGGGGCGTGGGCGGACTACCTCTGCGCAGCGGGAGCAGCTTGTTCTCCAGCACATCGCGGGCGTCTGTGCCCTCATCCATCAGGTCCAGCTTGGTGATGACCCCGATGGTGCGCTGACCTGGAGGGCAGCGATGAGAGGGTTGTCTGCACCGGCACTTGCCCTCCATCACCCCACTCCCTCCATCACCCACTGCCTGCCCCATTTATTTCCCACAGAGTGGCCAACATAATGTTTAAAGGGGTAATTCAGACCCCCGAGGCCTTGCGCCTTCGCTGACATTGGGTGGGCACCTACCCTGGGGGTCCACCTCCTTGGCGATCTTGAGGGCATCCGAGTTGGCCAGGTCAGAGTTGGCCGGGGACACGGCCAGGATGAGGCAGTTCTCCTTGGTGACGAACTGCATGAGCATGTCCCGGATCTGGAACTCGATGTCTGCAGGTTGGTCCCCCACCGGGACCTTGGTCATTCCGGGCAGGTCCACCAGCGTCAGGTTCAGCACTGGACAGGGCGGTGAGAGCGCGGGCTCAGGGCGAGTGGCTGGGCCGTTGGGGGGCCGATGCAGGAACAGGGCCAGGCCGGGGAGGATCCCCAAGGAGCGTGGCCGGGGTGGGCGGGGTTAGGGAAGGT